TCAAAATACAAAATTCCTTTGTGATCCCACCAGACTGACAGCATAATCTTTTTTTGCTGAATCTCTGCTTTTCATGCTGTTTGGGCTGGTTGATCTTGGTTCACCCATGATCTCTTGCGAGTAACATTGTTATAAACTATCCACTTTTCGTCACCAGTAACTAGGTTCTTCCTCGGAAATGGATCATTCTCCTTCTCATTGCGTTTCAGTAGCGGCGAATCACAGATGTTAATCCGTTGCGTCAAATGAATTCCCTTTAACTGGTGAGGGATCCATAAATCAAGTTTCTTGACATAACCAAGGGTTTTTCATTTTTTTCAATGCATGTATGCGACACATTGAGCTTCTCTGCAATATCTCGTGTTGTGCTGTGATGATTTGAATCGATAATGGCCTTGATATGGGTTTCATCCACTTCGACTGGGCGGCCAGATCGTTGTGAATTTTTCAGTGAAAAATCACTGGAACGAAATCTTTCAAACCAATTTCGACACTGCCTTTCTTTTAAGGCACATAACTTCATTTGTGCTTGCGATGCGTTCTTGCCTTTTCGGAAGTAATACAATAAAATGTGTCGGAAGTGCACGTCCTGTTCTTTCATTTTTAAATTGGGATAAAAACAAAACTAAAGAACTAAACAAAAAAATTTTTTACTAATTAACCTAGAAGTCCATACAGTAAGAAAAAATTATAGATTAGATGCTCTGGCCTCGTTAACAAAACAAAAGAAAGTATAGAGTGAATCCGTCAACAAAAACGGCAATGACTTAGTTGCCCACCCAATATATTGAATGCTAAAATTTATAAACACATATAAGCGTATACGTGGGGCAACATGCCACAAAACTACGTGTTCGATTTATTTGCATACATCAACTTCATAACGCATTACTGCTTGAGGTTAGAAGGATTTCATCTTGGCAGTACCCGCATTTGCTGTGTTCCATATGTATCCACTGTCGTTCGTGCTGAACACTGTTCTGATAATCAGTGAATAGTGTTCTTTCAAAGAATGCTGCATGCATGCGATAACTTATCACAATGGACTGAACGCCCTGGCCAATCAATCAACTTGGGGCAATGTGATTGGCTAAGATGGGTGTGCGATAGATTTACCTCCACGTATTGCACTATGGTCAACGTATACACACACGGCAAAATAGTCCATAAACCAGCAACTAATTTTTAACTTTAAACTACTATGACCCGACACGGGGTGAGCGATAGACTTACCTCCACGTGGTGGACCTTGAGCAACGCATACTCATACGTCAAAGGAGTCTATTATTTGGTAGTTGACTTCAGACTACCATCACCCCACTCTATGTCATATTCAACCACTTCCACAGAACTCATCTTATCTTTTCACTGCCTTTGTGTCTGTCTCTTTTACATCTGTAAATCACTCTTGTGTTCCCCACCCCTCGACTTTCTGTTACCCTGATGTTCCTTCCACCTGTGAAGTTGGAAGTCATCTAAAAGGCTGATGATAACTATCAAAACGCCTGCCATTCGAAATAAATAAACTATGACCCGAAGTTATGTTACATTCAGCCANCTCATCCCGACTTGTTGTGACTTTGGTGTTCCTCCCCTCTGTGAAGCCCGAAGTCAACTAAAGGGTTAATGATAACTGCCAAATCGCCTGCCATTTGATAATTATAATGATTGGCTAATAGTAGAATGAGTTATTATACGTGGTGAGAATATGGAATCGTGGAAGGGGTGGGGGTTCGCATTATGAAATTATTAAGTGAACAATTTTGATAAGCACAGCCGATAATGGATTTATAATGCGAGATGCACTTAAACGCGATTTCGTTTGCGTTTGAAAATAACCGCAGAAATTTGAATTAAGTCTTTTATTCGACAAAGTAAAATAATGGTGAAGGCAGTAGCAAATTAAAAACTATTAAATTACTAATTAGTAACTGTATTTTGTGAGAGGAAAGCTGGAAGCTTCCAAAAACAAGAAATAATTTAATGTAAATTTGGGTTATTTGATTACATTTAACTTATAGACTTTTTCATAATATATAATTTAAAATTTCTAAGTATTTAGACAGTGGAAATATATAAGTTGTATTTAGACGAAAAAATCATACAATTTGCATTATTTTAATTATAATTAAAATAAAGTCTAAATCAAAATTTAATTTAAGTTTTATTCAATTTCTTCAATCTTCAAGAAATAATCATTTTCGTACATTTCGTTCAACACGTTGTTTATCTGAATATTTGTTTTAATTTGTAACTCAATTTATACGTATTATTCAAACTATCATGTCTCAGCAGAATAACCACCGTGATTTACTTATTTCTAATTTTTCTCCTCGAATTGTTTGCGGTGCGTCGATCTACTGTTCTTCTCTAACTGAGCATAGGTGTAGGGTCAAATATTAAATCTAGAGAGGGCACATATCTTATTAGCGAAGCTTGTAGTATAATATAATAGTCGAGCGGGGTGTTGGAGAGGTATCACTCCAACTTATCTCGTGTATGAAGTCTTAGATAAACAAAAAAAAGATATTCGTAGCTCAGAAAAAAATCAGCTTTTGGGTTGAATGAGATTAAAGGCGAGTTGGCAATTAAGTGATTGTGTGCAGATCATGGTTTGTAAATTTTACTCACTGAAAGTCATATAACATTCATTGTCAGGTGAAACTTCAAATACCCGGTTATTAACTAAGTAGGAGTTAGATAGAATACGATTGCCACCACCACCCGCCTTACATCAGTAAACAAGGCGTCGATTTATCAAAGAAGAGATAGCTTGGTTGAACATCCAACGAAACCACCAGGCTGAGTCACCATTGGTCCAAATGCACAATTAATCGTCGATAACTCAATATAGAAAATGGAATTATTTTCACCGGCCCAATGATAGCCAATTTATAGCAACCACATCGTATAACATGCCCCAAAGTGTGTACTATGATTTTTTTCGCACTAGGCGTTTCTGTTGGTACTCCCAACCATCAAATATGATTCCCAATTTGATTGCCACTGAGAGGAAATAATAGAAATTAATTCATTAATTAATTAAATCGCCAAATCGTGCGGAACAGTCACAGACGTCTTGTTAGTTCTCCGGTGCCTCTTATTTAAGTGGATGCGGAGGAAAGTGCTGAATGAAAGAATCGAAATGGATAGGGGAATACTGCCAATCAGTGGAAGTCACTGAACTTGAGCTTGGTGGATGTTGTGAAGTGAAGTTGGACACTGATGTAAACTGATTACCACAGAAGAGAGTTAAAGGGTTACGTGAGTTGGGCAAAATAGATCAATATGCCTGGAATAAAGGACAGGGAAACCTTAATTATTTTTGAAAAAAATGATTTTGTAAGATATGACTGACAGTTTTTTATTGATGATAAAAATTTTTTAACTAGACAAATGCTATTTAACAAATCAATACATTGAGTATTTTTGAACCTGTGGTATTTTTTATTTCATTTTAGACGAAGTTATGAGAGACGAATTTCTCCAAAATATACACAGAGTGATTGTCAGATATAAAGAGAGAGATGGACTCAAATGTAGAGAAAAGGGAAAATGAGTACTGTTGAAATGATCGCATTTGACGTACAGTGGGGTGGTGGTAGTTTGAAGTGAGAAGTCAACTTCCGTTTTATAGACTTTTTTGCCGAATGCGTATACGTTGTCCAGGATGTACCGCGTGGAGGTAAGTCTTTCGTGCACCCCACTATAGAAAATTAAGATTGCCTTTCATGGCTACACCTAAGTACACCGAACGACTTGTTGACGCACAAAATGTGATACAGAGACATTTAGCGAAATGTAATTTCAGCTCATTTGACTGAGTTATTCAGAATTCTAAAAAATTCGCATGCAAAAGGAATGTTGATAAAAGGCAAAAGTAATAGATGCCGAGACCCAGAGAAATGTTTGGCATAGTAAGTAAAATGGATTTGGGATCAACTAGACTTGAAATGAGAGTCCAAATGTGGACTTAGATGTATTGGTATCCGGAGAAGATAATTGACACATCATTCCACAAACCTCCATCTTCATTAAAAATTTTATTGAAATGTGGCCCAGTGGCAGTCTAAGTTTTTAATTTGTGACGGGATGCCATTGTCATTTTGTACAATTCGCATCACTAACTATCCCCAGCCAATCACATAGTCAAATTTTTAATATCGTGAAATTTTCTACTAAAATTTGTCAAAATTCTGAAATGATATCTCTATTGTGGCTTCAGAGTGGGAATATTTTGCGTCATTCTTCAACCTAATCAACTGTATTGATCTGTTGACACGTGGGTGGATTCCTATAAGATTTTCGTGTGTGTTTGTTTCATAGTTTTGAATCCTCCTTTCCCCACAATTCGCTTGTTAATTTGAAACATTTGTCCTTCGCATTCTTTTGAGAATCGGATTTCAAACATTGTTGACTAATAGACAAACGTAGAAGACTTTCTGGAAATGTCTAAAAGAATTCAAAAGATTCTTGCCAGGTATGAAAAGGAAAAGGAGGAACTGAATCAAGAGCCTTCTAATACTCAAAAAAGAGATCATCCCAAAGAAATGCTCCAATTCAGGCAAAACTTTGAAAAGGAATTAGGAAAATGCAACATTAGCCAGAGGAAGAAGGTGAGTTTGAAAGACTTTTGAATGCTCCGATTTAGACGAATGTGAATCTTTTAGCATGTTAGCGGTATTATTCACTTCTCGTATATCCACAATACTTGCTAGATCCACTTTAGAATACACTTTCCAATTCTCATTTCGAGAATCTGATTAGCCTGATTGAGCCTAGTTAGTGAGAAACTAGAAAGCTACCAGTCTAATAGTGAACCACATTAAAACCAGTTACATTTACTATTCATAGTACCGCAAATGGACCTACGTTTCTTTTTTAGGTGAAAATAGTTACAGTAATTTTCGCAGAATGAAGTTCATTCAAACAGACCTTGAGGGAGAGATTTGAAATTGATTAATAGTGCAGGGATGGAATAAAGTGAAATGGAAGAGGGCATAGAATTAGGATATTTGAAATGAGATTCCTCGCCATCTCAATTCCCTACGTACATTTCGAACTTGTTTTCTGAAGCCTCTTGATTAGCCAATTGCATTGAGTGGAAGATTTGGTTCAAACATTAGTTTAATCAAATCAATAGATATTCCAAAAATTGAATTTGAGACCTAGAGTGTTGTGAAAATGGACTAACTTCTGAATTCTCAATGTATCTATTAAAGCTGGTTCATTTGGAGAACAACTGAGTTCACTTCTCCCTCATGGTCGCCCTTCTATAGCTTGTTTGCATCCCAAATAGATATTTTTAACATTATCTATTAACAGCGTACAGATTTTTTTAATCCACTGCTCTTGAATTAAACTAATCCCTAATATTTGATTTAAATGATAATCAAAAGCAGTTAGGCAGTTGGCATAAATCAGACTCAGAATGAAAAATATTTCTTCTGCCAGTATCCGTAGTGGAATTCGACTTTTCTATTACTTTATTCAATAAAAGTAGTATATAGAATAAAAGAATTTTGACAGAAGTATGTGTGCCTTCATTCAAAAACATAATGAGGATAAGACTGAATTTAAAAGCAGAGATCAAACGTCTGAAATTTACCAAATTTACTATGAGAAGTGCTGATATCACTTTGATTTAAGGTTTTGACATTACAAAAAATAGCGACAAGTTATATCCCTTCAGGTTGGTAAGGAAAGTTCCACGAGCGCATCTCCATACTCTACTCAATGCTATTTTCTATTGACTATAGCTATATATTCACCTTTTCTAATAGTGTTATTTATTTATTCATTTCAAATGGCAGACTTTATGATATTTATCATTAGCCCTTAAGCTTTGGCTTCAGCTTCCCCCAAGGGTGGGGGTACATATATAGCAGTTAATTAATAGCAATTCATTAGCTGTCTTCTTGCTTCCCAGTATCTCTGGCTTTTCGTCCTTTTCTTTAGGGCTGGACACCGAATCAGGTGGGTCTTCTCCATTT